TGCATGCCGTAAAAAGCGCGGCAAGAAATATAGTCCGATTAACCCCAGGATATTTTAGTTGCAATGCTATTAGCATATGAAAGTAACTTTACATTTAGTTTAATTGCACTCTGGGCGCACATTCTTCGGTTTGGTTATCCACCAGCATTATAGAACTACGCATAACGGGTTTAAGTGACAGAATATGTATAATTATTAACGATACTAATCAATATTTAACTACAAGCTGTTTTATTATCTATATTTTCACTATGCCCATCGGTCCATTAGCCACATTTTTACAACAAAAACTGGATACATTTACTATTGGAACGCCCACCAAAGCAATATAAAAAATGTGCCAATTTATTGACAGAACAGCTTCCTGGCTCAAACCAGAAGTCGAGCTTTTGGAAGAGTGTCAATAATGGCTAGAATAAGAATATTCAATAAACAGTATAGGTTTCTATTTGGAAAAATTAAGGTTGCCCTACACTTGACCCTTAAGGAGACTTCATAATATGTGAAAATATGCAAATATCATTAAATGGGCCCCTTCATATGATGACGAATGAAGGTCATATGAAGAATATTTTATATAAATCTTTTTTTATATCCCCGTTAGGTCCCTCAATAATCGACTGGCTCAAGATAAATAGGACACTCTGTAGATGAATTAATGAAGTAGCATCCAGGGGCTGGTATTTCTAGTATCTTTTAAGTTGATAGGCGTCGTGGTTCGTCAAATCTTTCTAGCTGCCACGCGGGCGGCTGGGGTTTGATCCCGGTCGCAGAATTGTTTATACAGGCTGATTCAAATTCGATGGCCACCATGGGGATCTCGGAAACTGTAAGAGATAGGTAGGTAGTTTAAATTCGGCAAACGTGCGTATTTTGATGCTTAACAAAATGCAGTTTTGAAACTGAAAATATTTCGACTACTTTCCGAGGTATTCAGAAAAAACAACGAAATTTTTCAAAATCGTTTTTATTTTTTTACTACTTTTTTCCCTCTACAATATGATGTTTTAAATTTTAAGTCTGACGTTTCGTCTCCGATTAACCATCATCACCTTTGTTTTTTCTTATGAAACTCATTTTTCCTTTCTGTGTCATTTGATAGAGCATTTTTTTCTGATTTCAAACATGTAAACATCACCCATGGTGGCCCTTGAATTTGAATCAGCCTGTATATTTAGCATTTCTTACGGTAATTCCATGAGCTTGTCGATGGCGAGACAATAAACGAATGAATTTGGTGTCAATCATAACCAGCCATAAAGGATCGTGCCACGATACTATCCCGAAAGTCGCTCGCATCTCAAGTAAAACATAGATTGTAGACCGAGACCAGGTGTTCTGTGACCGGAAATCTTTCCTGCCAAAAGGTTTATATATCTTGATAACAACGTATCCAAAGACGGTGGTTACCGAAGAAACGTGGTATATCTCAACGAGATGTACTTGTATGTCAAATGGGAATATCTTGTGAAAAATGGGTATTCGGGTATACTTTTAAAAATTGTGTGCCTTAATTACGCCACTGGCGCAATATTGCGATTAAAATAAGTAGACCCAAAGTGGGTCCATTCCTCAAGTTTTTTCATCTGTTAATTGGCAGGGTTCATTCGTAACTAGAAATTTAAACAAGAGTTGATACTTTTTTTACTCCGTGGACTAAATCAACGTGTTTTGTGACTAAACTGTCACTTTTTCTCTCGAAGTGCTATGATGCACGAAAACGACACTGAAATGTCAAACAATTTAATAATTAACGGTAGTAGAACAGGGAAACTAGACGCCATCTTGGATGTTGTGACGTCACAAGATCATGGCCTTGGGTTTTCCAAGCATTTTGGACTAAGGTCGTGGCCTTGGATGCTGGTCCAAGCGCACAAGTTTGGATTCTGAAACCAGGGTGTGTCCTTAACTTTTGGTCGAAGGTCGTGGCCTTGGACTTAGACTGAAGATCGTGGCCTTGACATTTCCCCGGCTAATTCACAAGGTCGTGGCTTTGGAATTTCCCCGACGAAAAAAGTCACGAAAGGGGATTTCCAGTTTGCGTAACTAAGGTGGGACCTTGTTTATGAACCGAGGTCGTGGCTTTGATGCCGTCGTAACTTTGTTTGATGGTACACTATTATTGTAATTTTTTCAGATGAGTGCGAACAAAGCACATCAAATGCGTTCAATAAATAAGGAAATAAGAGGAAAAGCAAAGCGCAAAACAAAACAATAAATTCAGGTTCTACTTACATGTGTAACGTTGTTCTAGTTCTATTTTGAAAATCCTTATTTTTTACACACATTATGCACACGCGAAAGAGATGTATGTTAGTAAGATCACTATAATTACGTAAACTTTAGGGGAAGCTAAAATTTCCAACGTATAATTAGGAATATGGTTTTTCCCAAACGTATTAGAAGAACAAATTAACCTTGAATAATGAAAGGACCTTCAGATACACATAAATTTTTCAAACGCATTCGATGGCTTTGACAAAGAGGATGGATTTTAAGGATTTTCAAACAAAAACTCAGAGAAACGTTGTATATGTAAGTATAGAACCGTAATTTATTTTTTGTATTGCTTGACACTTTGCCTTTTCTCTTTGTAAAATTAGAGATGCATAATTTGTCATTTTTTGAGAGTAGCTTATGTTTTGCAATACAGCATTTTTCTTCTCATCTTATTTATTGAACGCATTTGCTTTTGCTTTGTTCGTACTCATCTCATGGATTGCAAAAATAGTGTACCATAAAAACAAGGTTACGTCTTAGTTAGGACACCAAGACCAAGACCTTGCTTCATAAGCAAGGTCACTTCTTAGTTACGCGACCGGGAAATTCCCTTACATGACTTTTTTCGTCTGGAAAATCCCAAAGCCACGAGGTTTTGAAATAACTGGGGAAATACCAAGACCTCGACCTTGAAGCAAAACGCGAGATCATGATCTCCTTCCAAAACCCAAGGCTATGACCTTGGTTTAATATCCAGGGCCATGTCATTGGGGCAGAGTGCAAGATCGTTATGCGAAACACCGCGACTATGTCCATTCTCTTAGGAACACCCGAGTTCACGTCCTTCAGAAACCCTAAGGCCATGACCTTGTGGCGCCACTGGAAATCCCAAAACTCGTGACCTTGGGTCATATCTTGATCCTACAATCAAACAAAATTCTCTCTTTCAGATGTAATTAAAGTTACCTAATTAGACTTATGGTATTGAATAGCGGAGTACAAAAAACATTTAAGCAAAAGTAGAGTCGACCATGATACTTCTGATTTAGACCATGTCATCTTACTCGCTTTCGTAAAGACGAATTTTTTTGTCGACAAGTGATGTATGCGTAATAAATGGAATAGTGATAAGTGATCAAGCAGTATGAACTTTTTTGGGGTGCTTGAAACTGTGATTATCGGATACTATAGGAATGATCCTTCGAAGTATACATTGCCGATTTAAATAAGAAATATGAAGCAATTAAAATGCTTGTAACTACTAAACAAGAGTAATAAATACCCTGGTAGCATTTAGCCACCTTTCAATTATTATGTTAAATAGTCGGAAATAATTTCATATACTTTATGGTTATTATGATTACATTTGGAAATGATACAAGAGTATGACCGTACACTTACCGTTACCACACGCTGGTGATATCCATTTCAGGTAATTTTCCCTACACAGAATCATTACGCTCCCACAGAGGCAATTAATGTAGCAAAATAAAATACTGCTGCAGCTCTGTTTTTTTTTCAAACAATCAAATCTGCACGCTTGTATAATCGAACTATAAAGCATTTCTTCGTTTCCAAGAGTGACAGGATCGGCCTCGGAATTGGATTATGTGAGGTTGAGAAAAGTGTGATGAATGTCTTTAGGGATTTTGTTGTCAACACAAAGGACAATAGTCCACACTTTTTACACTCTGACAATCGTAAAATTGGTTGTCAAATAGGACTCCTACAACTATCAAAGCGTAGCAGATCCGGTCTGTAGAGTAATTTACATAATTCATGTTTCGTTCGAGCATGGGCCCGATAATTAGGAGTCCCCGTAAACACTGCCTTTGTGGTTTGAAGCTATATCTTAGAGACTATAAATAATAAAAAGCCGCAGGCTGGCAGAACTCATCACCACTCGACTAACATTAACGATTTGTCCTTATTTGGTCAAGCAGGTAAATGATTTACTTTAACATCTTCGGAATTTGATGGACAGCTGACTGAATCTGACACTTTCCATTAGTCACTGATTATTAGTCAAATGCCTACCTTAATTGGACGAAATGTGACACAATAACGCTCTAATTTTCCGCTGTCATATCATAATTAACACGTAACGTACTTTAAACCTGACACATTCAATTAACTACGAGCATTAATAAACTAGTAATGTGCTCTTTTCATTATAAATCAATAGCGGAATCGGAACAGAAAGAATTTCAATGTTGTTTCTTTTGACCGTATCTTATTAGTAAAACTGTTTCACATCGATTCCAATAAATCTATATTTAGATGGAGTTCTTTGAATGCCACGGATAAAATAACTTTGCGGCGTTAAATATTATAATGTGCTGACCAATGGTGCAGATAAACACCTGTTTGCTAATGCACATTGTATACCAACCTTGTACCTATAACATTGAGCTGTTATCTGTACTCTGGAGTTCGATTTTGTTTTTGTTTAGAGTTTGTTTTGGTAATATAGGAGGAAATATGTTACATTGTTCAAGCACCATATTCTGTATAAGACAGTGTGCATAGGCACTGGGTTATTTTTCCTCAATAAGGGAGAATGGCAATGTCGATCTTTCATCATCACAATGTTGTATGCCATTGTTCCTTTCAGTGTGGTAGTAATTGAATTCAGACGTGTGTAAGGAAAGTAGGTACTCCAAAGTTTTCCAGTTGTGGACATCCAGAAATATTACGATGATAACAGAAAAACACGATGGAAGCAGTCTAGGAAGCAGTGCATATATTGATTATTGAAATGAATATAGTCTTAACAACAACCTGATCAGATCACTTTTAATTGGATTAGCCCAGACATTCAATTACATTCAATTATTACGCTAAACAGTTACGGAAGTTGTTTCATGGTTAACGATCGACTCCTTGATATTAAATCTGGGGAATGACCCCGTGACCCAATTTCAGCAAATGGCGGCTTCTTATCAGCAGATGGAAAGGTCGTACGTCGACCGAATGGTAGGGAAAAGGTCTCCCGACTCAAGCTGGTTCGTTCAACTGGTAACAATTACCAGTAAACTTGAACTTGAAACTAGAACTTAAAATTAAAACTTGAATCCAAAATTAGAACTTGAAATTAAAACCCTTAAAGAAAATCAAAGGCAACCCATTTTCATTGATAACCAATGTACAAACCTCTTTAAATAAGAGGGCCAATTATAGATGAACGTGTAACAATCGTCAATGGAAATTACAATGTGACAGTAATATCAGTCGATCCTAAAGAAAAGAGATATACACTACAAGTAGATGTAATGCAAATGGCGGATACTTACGATAAGCCAGAAAAAACGCAACAATATCCTCCTTGCTATTGAAGTAGTTATGGTGTCTCTTTCAGACAATAATGTGGAATCCAAAAATTGCGCGTTCAAAATTCTAAGGTTATGACTGTTACGAGGATCATTCAACTACATATATCGCGAACAACACTATACCTGTAATTAAGAAAATAAACCATTATATACTACGAGTATGCCATGGTATAATAAAAACGGTATCGCAACGCGCATCGTGTCCCATTTCCCCACGCCGCCGTATGACGTCAATCACGTAACAAACTCCGGCGCGCGTATACAAATGCATAGGGAAGGGGTTACGGAAACGCACTATTATTTGTATATCTGTCGGCGAAATTTTGGTTTATTTGAGTATACAATATTACATACACAAATGCAAGCTCGCACAAAAACATTACAATGAAATGCAAAGCAGATAAAATGTAAGTAGAGGTATTGTTCAAATGGTGCGCCAAGCGCGTGTACGTGAATGGAAAAAGAAGATCATGTACCTCTATTTTTTAAACAGTTTGAAAATATAGCACACTAGAGCTTGTAATCAATCAAAATGCATTTAGTAATTTGATATACTCACGTATATCTAAATAATCGAAGCAATAAAAGTATTTCCGCGTACTGTAAATATCCTAGTTCACTTACATCGTATTAATCAGATTAATTAAACAAATTGCTTTCAGCTTATTTTTTTAATTTAAGCATGTAATTTTGTACAAAGCTTATTCTTCTATTCTAAGAACGTTCTTATTTGACTCGGGTACAGCGTCTCCTCATATGATAACGGATGCCCCAATTTTGTTTAGTCTATACATTTTTTCGCATACGTATCTTCACTTCCGAAGTATTTAACATCTTAACCCTTCGTTTTTCGTGAATAATTATTACATTTTGCACTCGCGCAACCAGGCATTATCGTTCAAATGTTTATTCGGTATCCTCGCGGTGTAATAAAAGCGGAAATAAAAGGTATTCGCTATTAATAGAAGCAAAAACGCGAGTGTTTGCAATGCAGGACTATCAACTACACATATTCCTGTACGTACGATAAATATAATATGCACCACAACACAATGCAGATTATACGTCGAAAACGAGGCCCACCATTGAATCTTTATGGGATTACCTCGGGGATTACGCACCAGATGTAACTAGAGTGACGTCATGCGCGGGCACGACGTGTTTTCGTCCGACAACTGAGCACCCGATGAATAAAAGAGTATGCCCTAGAGCTATAATGTTGTTGACACACCACTGCTAAATGAAACAGAATCACAATCACTACCGCTGTGAATCTCCGCACGAGTACCTAAATTATAAACCGATACAACGAAATATCGAAGGATCCTCCTCAGTATTACCATCACTTTTAACGACAATTTATTTTAATCTTAAAAAATACAATTTACAGTTAACAAAAATGCATCACATTCATGCCTTGGCCTTTGAGATAATGCTCTTAATCTTGTTCCCAACGATATCAGTGCAAGAATGACGATTTTGACATGTTTTGATCAAAATCCACGTGGTCGCCAAAAATAGATCAATTCATGTTTTGGTCATTGAGATGATATTCTTGGTCTTTTTCCCAACGAGATTAGTGCATGAACAACGATTTTGATATATTTTGATCAAAATCTACGTGACCTCAGAAAAGTAATTTAACATCTTTGAATCACACACATGTGGTTATCAAAATGTGCACGTGATGTACTCTTTCAGCATCAAGATAATGCGTCTGAAAGCTTTTAAAACTCCTAATTCATGTGTAAAACATAATTTTGGGTACATTTTGCTCTAAAACTTTTGACCTATACCACATAGAAGAGATATTGCATTGTTACACATCTAAGATTCATAGGGAACAATCTAACGAAAGTCCGGACATGACGTAGGGAATGAAATATGTCGATTTCTATTATATTGAGCAGTGTTTTATGTTCCCGCTTCACTCGAAGTCCTATAACTTTTGTTCTTGTTGAACCAGCTTCTTGAAAATCAATAGCGCCCGTCCTTAATATCCAAAGTACCCGTACACCAAATTTCAACACAATCGGCCACTTTTAAACAGATGTAGAGCGCACACGGACGGACGGACGGAGGGACGGACGACAATACAAAACTATAAAGGATCTGAGGATCCTTAATAATGGAAGCAGTCTGTTATATTTTTTCTAAATGCGCTCGTTTATTCTGAATTAAACTCGATTAAGAGTTGAGTGTCTGTCATAGTATTTGACATATGTCAATTTTTCTCTAAAAATTTGAAGATGCAAGGATCCATTAAAAAATTCACCAATATTTCTGATGTAGATTTAAATTTTAGAGCCCCTCTTATTAACATTCTGTATGCCTATATCCGGTAGTTTTTGAGTTATTGGCATTTGTTGAATTTTCATTAGGTGTAATAGGCTTTGGAAACAATCGTTTTATTTGGAATCAAATGTCCAACAGTATTATCTTAATATTCGCATCAATTCGTCCAATTTGCACTGTGGATCATTATCCACATTCTCTTGTTTGTTATTTATGCCAATAACTGAAAAACTACCGAAGAATGTTAATAAAGTGGCCCTAAACTTTAAATCTACATTCAGTTTTGGCATCAGAAGTACTAGTTGACATTTACACAGAGCAAAGCGATGTAAGGTTTATAGGTTGGACCAATTTGGTTCAAACTTCAAACTTGGCACAGTTGACCTATATGCCACTTGTAATAAGTCTATTGAAAATGGGTCAAATCCAATGACCCCGTAGGGTCACGCCTCTCTGCCTCTGGCAAACGCTTGAACCTATTCGGTTCAAACTCTGCACAGTAGACTTATATGCCATATGTAACAAGCCATTTGAAAATGGGTCAAATCCAATGACTCCGTGGGGTCACACCGAGGTGCTCTGCCGCTTTTTTAAAAGCTCTATTTGAGTTTATTTCCTTTAAAGTAACTTTTTATTTACATAAGAGTAAATAGTTATTTATATAACAAGAGCGCGAAGTTCAATTTCGCGCATTGAGACTGAAGGTATTTTGACGAGGCGAAGCCGAGTCAAAATATCAGTCAAATGCGCGAAATAACTTCGATTTCGCGCTAGCGTTATATACAATATTTTTTCTACAACTGAACCGATTGTTAATTACATTTGCTGTTTAAGTTCAACTTTGCACGTGCGCGGAATACTTTTTTTCATTGTTGACGATTTCGCGCACGTTGTCAAGAGCAACCTTACTTATTAATTAACCGTTTAAAAATCTAGTACTTCGTGTTTCGAAATTCGTCAGAAAATGACAAGTTTTTTTGACAGTTGTAGAAAAATGTTATTTCTTGAACAAAAGTTGGGTTTTCCATTTACTTTTACTGTTTCATTTAAAGGTTCTATAGCTAATTCTAATTACATGCAACGCGAAGTGAGCAAACCAACATACCCCCAAACCCAAAACAAAAGCACATAGGTATTGGTTTCTGGTTGAGGGTACCCATTCGCGTTTTGGTTACATTTTTGTGCCCATTCTTCGAAAACTAGACTTATCGCATTGTGGGTAAACTGCCCTGCTCACAATGCGTAATGGGTATAATTTCTGACACTGTCCGATTTCGGCTCTTGAGAATAACAAATACATTTCCTAGAAAATCGGAAAATTGGTTCGATAGGTATTCTCGCACGATTATGGCATTATGCGCGAGTGCACCATTCTGTTGAAACCAACAGTTTCCAGTTTTTTTTGTGCCTTACATCGTAGTAGGTATTCGTAATAAAAATGATAATACAGTATACTTTTTTACGGGCCATATAAAAAAATAAGGTTAATAATGATTCCTCCGAAACGAAAGGTTGTATTGAAAATCTCTCAACGCTGTCTTGTAGAGCTCAAATGTGTTTTTATATTTTTTCTGTTAAAAAAAAACATCAGAAATAAATAAAGACAAAATCGGCAAATTTCGGTTTTTCTGGCATACCTTCGAAAGTAATCGGAACGAAAAACCAGAAAGGTTTTCTTTACAGCATGATAATTGCTCTTTAATTGCGCAACGTTTTCCTAATTTAACAATCTTCGTATCTTCTATGGTTTCCGAGATCTTCATGATAGACATCCTTATCTTGGACACAGTGTATATCATTGCCCAAAACGGAAATTGAGTACAAGTAACCGAGGGATTAGGATGCACTTTAGTCTCTGTTTTTTGTACTCCTGTAATCAGCTACATCAATTTTAATGGTAACGTACAATTCGGTGCAGTTATCAAGGGTTGAGCGCCACTCAATTTCTAATTTAACTCTCTCTGCATGAAACTGAGAAGATACGGGGGTATTACAAAGAGTAGGGATGGGCGATAACTGTTTTCACCTATCGATAAGTATCGGGTACTTACCTATCGATATATTTTACTTATCGATATGCCGATAATTATCGAAATATCGATGGTTATCGATATATCGAGAACTATCGATATATCGAGAACTATCGATATATCGATACCTATCGGTACTTATCGATAACTATCGAAATATCGATAACTTTCGATATATCGATAAGAATTGGTATATCGATAAGAATTGGTATATCGACAGTTATCGATATGTCGATATCGATACATCGATAGCTATCGATATATCGATAAGTCTCGATATATCGATAAGTATCGATATGTCGATAGTTATCGCTAGGGATGGTCGATAACTGTTTTCACCTATCGATAAGTATCGGGTACTCGATATATTTTACTTATCGATAAGTATTTTATTTCATATTTGCGAAATTCGGAAACTATCGTTTCTTTTATAGTGTTTGGTTCAATATAATGGCCAGTGTCCAGATGGTGTGTTGCGGAAGAAGATGTAGTATGATGTTTAATTGCCAACAACTGCTCTTGTACTCTGACATTTAGTCTCCTATTAGTCTGACCTATGTATGATCTAATACAATTAGTACAACGAATATCGTAAACTCCTTGTTTTTACCTGGGATATTGTCTTTGGGATTTCTAAGGAGATGTTGTAGAGAACGGTGAGGTTTAAAACATACGCTAAATTTATCTTTAGGAAATGTGTTGGCAATTTTATCTATGATGCCTTTTATGTA